AAAAAAAAAAAAAAAAAAAAAAAGTTAAATGTTCATACGCACACTTGAAACACAAAGACAGCCTCAAGAGCCAAGGGACCTTAAACCCAAGGTTATAAAGAAAGAGCCAGCAGCATAAAATGTGTCGTGATTGAAGTTGTTTTAATCCCGTGTGATGAGTTTACACTATTTCACTTATACTTTATCACAATATTGATATTAAGCTCCATTTAAATGCAATCAAACTGAAGCCAAAATGAATGTATTAGAAGTCTTTTCATTAGAGTACAAACTAGGCTTCAAAAGCTACCAAAAGACCCAGGTTAAGACACCTTGGTTGCAATGAACAACATGATAGATGTCATCATATTACTTGGGACCAGAGGGCTTTTTGTCCTGGTTTTTAAACAGCTATGAGAAACCGTAAACCGTTGTTTTGCAGAGATAAGAACATGGGAAAACAGATAAGTGAACTACCATCATTTCACTTTGTACTCAGTGTATTGTTTAATGCGTTTCAATAAATTCTCTACAATGTGTCCCCCCCCCCAATGTCTGCTTCTAATTTAGAAGTAGAACCCTGTGGGGAACAAATTAACGAAAACCACAGTCAAGTTTTTGCATTGTGTGGTTGAAGGGTTCTAGAAAAGGTGGGAACTGTAGTGCTAGATCATAATCTTAATGCAAGTAATAGATGGTCACTGGATTTTGGAAATTAGTGAACTTTAGAAATTATAGTTTGTGGAAAAGCCACCTGCACATGTAAAATAAAAACAGTGAACATGCCACAAGCACATTTAAGTTATTTATTTTGTTTCAAAAAGCAAACATTAAACCATGAAAGACAGTTACGCAGCTATGAATTCACTTGCTGCAAACGCCTCAACACACCTGAAGACAAACTCTTGCTTTGAGTAGGTTGGGAACGCAGTGGTGCTGGATCCTCAAAGCCAGGTTTAAGAGACTGCAGAGACTCATAGCCTGAAGGAATAAACGCATTACTACGTTGCTCCAGGGGTTGGGAACCAAGAACAGAAAGAGACTGGAAACTAGATTTTTCTGGCATAGAGAGCTGAAACCCAGTGTCAACCAGTTGAGATGTGGGCTTATAAGTTGGTGCCTGAAACCTGGAGTGCACTAACTGGTAGCTGGCTTGTGCCGACTGCAGGCCACTGGGATAGGATAAAGCCTGGTACCTGGTTTGTGCCGACTGTGGGCCACTGGGCTGGGACACAGACTGGTAGCCGGTGTGTGCTGGTACTTGGACACTGGGCTGGGACACAGATTGGTAGCTGGCTAGTGCTGACTGCAGGTCACTGGGATGGGGCACAGATTGGTAGCTGGCTTGTGCCGATTGTAGGCTGCTGGGATGAGAAGAATGGTACCTGGTTTTAGCCGACTGTGGGTCACTGGGCCAGGACACAGATTGGTAGCTGGCCTGTGCTGGTACTTGGACACTGGGCTGGGACACAGCCTGGTACCTGGTTTGTGCGGACTGCAGGCGACCGAGATGGGACAGAGCATGGTACCTGGTTTGTGCGGACTGTGGGCCACTGGGTTGAGACACAGATTGGTAGCTGGCTTGTGCTGATTGTAGGCTGCTGGGTTGTGATGAAGCCTGGTAACGAGCCTGTCCTGGTTGTCCACTAGGCTGGGACACAGATTGGTAGCTGAATTGTGCTGACTGCAGGCCACTGGGCTTGGACACAGCCTGGTACCTGGTTTGTGCGGACTGTGGGCCACTGGACTGGGACACAGATTGGTAGCTGGCCTGTGCTGGAACTTGGACACTGGGCTGGGACACAGCCTGGTACCTGCTTCGTGACGATTGTGGGCCACTGGGTTTGGACACAGATTGATAACCGATTTGTGCTGACTGCAGGCGACCGAGATGGGACAGAGCCTGGTACCTGGTTTGTGCCGACTGTGGGCCACTGGGTTGGGACACAGATTGGTAGCTGGCTTGTGCTGACTGCAGGCCACTGGGCTTGGACACAGCCTGGTACCTGGTTTGTGCGGACTGTGGGCCACTGGACTGGGACACAGATTGGTAGCTGGCCTGTGCTGGAACTTGGACACTGGGCTGGGACACAGCCTGGTACCTGCTTCGTGACGATTGTGGGCCACTGGGTTTGGACACAGATTGATAACCGATTTGTGCTGACTGCAGGCGACCGAGATGGGACAGAGCCTGGTACCTGGTTTGTGCCGACTGTGGGCCACTGGGTTGGGACACAGATTGGTAGCTGGCTTGTGCTAACTGCAGGCCACTGGGCTTGGACACAGCCTGGTAGCTGGCTTGTGCTGACTGCTGGCCAAGACTTGAACTCAGGATGGGCCTGTCACCAGAAAATAGTTCAGAACCAACTTGAAGTCTACTTCCCTGGGGCTTGACAAAGGATTGGGCATTAGCCAACTGTTGACCACTGGACTGGGAGCCAGTCTGCACTGGTTGCTGGCTATTAGAGGCCACAGACTCTTTACTAGTCTGCACTATAGTTTGATAGTCAAGCTGTGCTGGCTTGGGTACAGTCTTACGTCTCACACTTGTACTTAATGCAGTGGCTAGAGAACCAGAAACAAAACTGCCACCTGAAGATATCAGAGAGCCTGGGTTTTGCCTTCTAACATCAGATTCAGAACCAATGTTATATACACTTGTCACTGGACCAGAGCCATAGGAGCCAGTTTGAGGGCTATAGCTTTCACTGCTATATACACCATTAACTGCAGCACCATAAGTGAAACTCTTGGATCTTAGTGGCCTGATGGGATCCGATACATATCCTTGGCCATACCAGCTGGAAAACACCCCCATTCAAACAGACATCTTGACAAACCTGAATTATAGAACTTAGAGATGGGACGTTTGACACAGAGACTCCGAAGCCTGTTTCACTCTATTAAAGCAGACCAGTTCAGTAGACTGTCGAGGCTTGTATCAAATCTCTGTGATCACATGACAGATGACGTTTGAGGCTTCACACGTCACAATGAAACACCTGAAGTGAGGTGACCGATTCAAATCTTTGGCGTGAAGAAAGCCTCAAAAGCTTCACAAGGCTTCATCTGCCCATCTCTAACAGAACTTCACTGAATAAGACTTACCACTTCCAATATGCCCATAGACACAAAAGCCAAAAAGTGCTAGAGAAAATCTGCAAAATAAAAACACTTGTTAAACACACTTTGCTTTATAGAAGAAAAAACAAACAAACAACAAATTAAACCTTAAGAGTTGCACAGTGGTACCCTCCATGTTCAGCAAAAAACACCTTAACAAAACCAATACAAAATAAGGAGACACATTTGTCTCCCCCACAGCACATATTAGGGCTGTTGAACTGGACTTTTTATAGTGCCTGCTACTGCCAATTGTCAGACAATCAGTTGTCATGGGAACATGTAATATACAGTTATTAGGTTCAGGTGTCACAGCCCTCATCACAGGAAAAGCTGACCTTCTATTTTAGTCTTATTGAACTGATTTTGTCAAGCATATTTTTGTTTTACAGAATGAATGCATTCAATGAAAAAAAAAAAAGATGTTAGCGTTATTTAAAATATATTTTTACCAGATTTAATTGCCTATATTACTAGATTTAATAAGACATGTCTATGAAAGAATAATTAATATAATATTCCTATGGAGAGAACTGTGTAGAGCTTCTCCAAACATTGAATATTAAACAACATATAATGAAAATTTGATAATGCTAAAAATCATAAGAAAAAATTAATCAGAACATATGGCTACTTTTAAATGGCTGTCATTAGAGAAAGATGCTTTTTGTCCCATAATAGTGAAGTTATGGCATTTTAGGAACTCTGGTCATACTTTGTACTCTAAGAAATGAGGTAGCCTATGTAAATTATACATACCTTACACACCAACATTCAACATTCACTGTTTTCATATGCTTGTAGAAACCCTTTGAATAACTTGTATAGCTACTAAGCTATTTCAGTTTATGTTATTAATCATGTTAATTAAAGTACATAAAGTATAGGGATATCTTCTTTTGCAGTAGTTTTAACTTAATTGGTACAAGATTTTTTTTGTACATACTACAAATAAATAAATAAATAAAATAAACAAAAAATACAAATAAATAAAATGCAGTTAGATGTTTGCATGTCTCGCTGGAGAAACCTCAAATGATTTCAATGAAATACAAAGACAGCCTCCAGAATCAAGGGACCTCAAACCCAAGGCTATGAAGATAGAGCCAGCAGCATAAAATAATGTTATGAAATGATAAACATAATGTTGTGAAATGAAATTTTGTAATCTGCATTCCTATTTAATGAATGTGGAAAACAGATGAACTACCATCATTTCACTTTGTAGCCTGCTCAGTGGGTTTGTTGTGTTTAATATATTCCCTCCAGTAAGATTCATGGTCTGTATATTTTTCATTTTACTGCTAATTCAAATATCATGTTTTTATATTGTGTTTGGGTCTAGAAGAGGGTCCTGCACGACTGCATAATACATGACACACCTCACGATGTAGTGCCAA